GAAGCATAATCTAAGGCTGGGCTGCCCTGCTGACTCAAGTAAGTAGCCATTCATTCCAGACTGCTAAAAATAATCCAAGCTGTTGTGTTCATCTCAGGCCTAATAAAGTCACAGCTAACCTGGGAGAGGCTGGGAGATAGGGGGACTGGGAAAGAAAAGACTGAAAAGCAGCCACTTTCTTAGCGACTTAAGCGGGAACAGAATCAATTGTGTATCTGAGCTACTTTCCCAGCGTTGGGAGGAGGCAAGGGAATAGTGACTGATGGATTTGGACAACAGGTGCCTTGGAAACCCTGCCAGAATCTTGGCAGGCTCCAGCTGCTCAAAGAGCTGCTCATCCCCTGAGCTGCTGCTCTCCCCCACACCGGCTGCTGTGAGTTATGGAGACCCACCGGAGAGAAGACTTTGGGACTGGAACTGGTCAGTCAAGAGAGCCCATTAAAATATTTTACAAAGTGTGCTGAGGAACATTTTAGCAACCTTTCTAACAAAGAAGCTTCTACTTTGTTTTACTAACAATAGCTGAGAACCAATGTTTATTTATATTCTTCAAGTATGTAATGTACTTAAGACTTTTGTTTTCTCCTTTGGAGAAAAGTTGAGCCTTAACCACTGGATAGCTTTACCCTGCACCTCAGGTACCTACAATTGGATGCATTTTGGTGAAAGGCCTGCTGTGGTTTCTCTCTTGGCAAACCAGCCATGGCCACTGTATTAGTCATATATTGTTGCATAACCAATTACCCAAAGACTCAGTGTCTTAAGACAACATTGAATATTTATTATCTCACATAGTTTCTGTGGGTCAGGAGTTTGAGAGCAGCTTTGCTGGGTGGTTCTGGCCTGGAGTCTCATGAGGTTGCAGTTATGATGTCAACTAGGCCTCCAGTCATCTGAAGTCTTGACTGGGAATGGAGGGTCTGCTTTCAAGATAGCTCACATATATGGCTGGCAAGTTGGGACCAGCTGTTTGCAGGCCTCAGATCCTTACCATATGGACCTCTCCATAGTGCTGCCTGGGTCTTCATGATATGGCGGCAGCTTCCCTCCAGTGAATGATCTGAGAGAGCAAGGCGGAAGTGGCCATGTCTCTTATTACCTAGCCTCAGAAATTACACGCCATCACTTGCTCCCTATTGTATTGGTCACAGAGACCAACCCTCATGCAATGTGGGAGGGGAGTACACAGGGATCACTGGGAACCATCTTGGAGGCAGGCTACCATAGCCATGCTGGAAATAGTTATATGAGTTGTGAACAGAAGAACACTCTTTTTTTCCTCTTTTCCACCAGCCATGATATGGAGCAGGATAAGAAGCCACTTCAATGATAGTAACACCCTTTAGTTTAAGACTAGTTTCTCCGTGTGGATACCAAGGGTAAGTTCTCTTTTCAGCTATCTACATAGTAAGTTCCTGGAGGACAGGAACAGACTGTTCTTTCATATTTTCATAACCTAGCTTACCATCAGGCAGAGTAGGTACTCAGTTAATGATGAGCTGGGAGGGGAAATCTTTCATAGACCACAGAGCAAGCAGAGTATAACAGAAGGATGGCTTTGAAGCCAGCTCTTCATTCAAATCCTGTATCTTTGACTAATTAGCTTTGTGAGCTTGCGCAGACTACCCATTGGAGCTGTTTTTATCACAAAAATAATTACATGCATCCTCTGTATCTCTCCATCCTTGAGAACCTGTTAGTATCAGTTGGAGCTTCAAGTGAAGAGGACATACATGTATCTCAAGTCTCAATGGCAGAAGGTGGTTGTGAAATCTTACTCTCAAAGACTAAGATTTAGAACTGTCACTTATTCTACACTACTCTAGGAGCCATCTCCCACGTCCCACAATCTAAATCTTATACAATGGTTCCTAGGACATCAGCAGAAGTCTCAGCACAATGCTTTCAGCCTGTGTCCTTGGTTTCTTTGGTTGGCTGCTGTCTCAACAGTCGTCATATGGTACACATATGACTAGTTCTTTACATCCACAAGTGGTAGAGGAAGAAGATGAAAGAAGGACCAATTCTGTATGGAATTTGGTTCTACAGGGCAGGGTACCGCCTTAGTGGGAACAGGTGGGACAAGTTAGAAAAATGGATCTGGCAGAGTCTGTACTTCACTTTATGGGTCTACGTACGTAAACACTCCCCTTGTTGATGGTCTGGCTTATGTGATCAGTGACCACAGAGCCTCTATTTTATTTTCCCCTTTACTCCAGTATTTAGACAAAGGTCAGGTAGTTCTCAAAGGATAACATCATGTTATCCTTTCCCTCTTCCTCACTTCAAGAGGTCTTGATTCCCGTCTTGAAATCTAAAAGGCTGGCCAGCACCTGTCTTCCTTACTTATCCCACGCAATTCCTTGGCCTTGGGTTCCAGGTAACGAAATCTCCTTTAAGCATTTAGGTCTACAACCGCTTCTTGGCCTCATCTAGCTCTTTGGCCTTTGTGGAGGGGGGGTGGTAGAGCGTCCAACTAGGTGATTAACAGCTGATAGTTTTTGGGAGGCAATTCACCATGGGCCTAAGTGTCCCTGCATGTTCTTGCTGGGTATGCCAAGAATGCGAGGCCCTGACCACTCTTTACCCAGGCCATTTCTCAGGGCTGTGTTTGCAGTGAGCAACCTTGAGGGATGAGGTAATATATTCCTCCAGGACAAAGAGTAGGCTTGCTTAGTGTTGCTATAAAATGGCAGCTCAGTGTTCTCCTCCTGTAACAAAAGCCACTGCATTTGCAGGCATCCATCTGGGTCCTACACATTGCACCCGTGGGACCTGGGGCAAGGATGAACTGACATGCTCATGCCACTTGCTGTGCTGTAACAGTCTTTTGTCTCCGGCTCAGGAGTCTCATGTCTTGTATCAGAAAGCATGAAACAGAAACAGGCTAACTTATTTGCTTATAAGGAGGGTAAAATCAAATCCCAGGTCTACACAACTGAGCTTGACAATGTGATACGCCCAAATTATCTGTTGTTCTGATATCATTATCTGGCAACTTTTACGGGTATCTTTTATTATCCTGTTTTTTTACTTTGTCTTCAAAAAGGATAGGAAAGATACAAAGCATCCTATTAAGTCAGGAGTTGGCAAATTACAGCCTGCCTGTGTTTGTATACAGAATTTTATTAGACCACAGCCACAGTCATTTGTTTATGTATTGTCTATGGATACTTCCGCGCTACAACAGCAGAGGTGAGTAGTTGTGACAGAGATCATGTGCATTGTAATCCTAAAGTATTTATTATCTGGTCTTTTAAGAAAAAGTTTGCTGACCCATGTACAAAGTCATTCTTCATTTAGGGCAATGGATCACATGACTGGAAATCAAAGACAAAGCATCTTGGAAGGTGAGCTTAGTCCATTTTAAAGCCAGCCAAGCTAAGATTGCTTCTCTAAAACTACAAATGAATAAAGATTTATCAGGAAGGATTTTCTACATGGTGCTTCATTCAGGGGTTATCAGTCTGTAAGGACCAGGTGTATATGAGCTATGCAGGTAGAGACTACAGATTCCAATGGGGAAATATCCCATCCTCAGTACTAAGTGAGTGATTAAAATATTAAATAGCATCAAGGAAAAAAGCATCTTATCAAAATTACTATTTGGGGACTAAAACAAAGGACACATTCCCACTAGACACAGAAATAAATTTTAATTCATTGAAAAGTGCAGCAGTGAACAGGGTCCTTTGAAGGGCACTTTCTAGGTCAAATGACTGAGATGACACAGAGCCAGGGCAGAATAAATCTAGGAACAAATGATGCAAACATAAGAATTTACAAAATTCAGTGGGGCCTAAGTTATGGTGCAATGACAGAACCCAAATATACTTATCTCCTTCCACCGATGCATCAGTTGAAATACCCTTTGCTTTCTCTGAAAAAGGATCCTGGGATAACTTTTCTCCTTTTGTTAAAAAAGCACTAATCCTGAATTTAGACACATAAAGATAAATTTAATAACATTTCTCACAGATTAAAGTATAACTTCCATGACTATCATTACTATTTTGTATAAAACCCCCCTATTGTTCTCAATTAAAATGTATTTGCAACAGCACCATTCGTCAAATTCAAAGATGCTCAAAAAGTTGCTCCCTACCTTGTAACTGCATTTCAGGGACAGCTTTGCAATAAGAATTCTTATAAGGCAAAATCTCTATTCATTCCTAAGGCCTCTGTTCATTCTTACTGGTTACACAGCTCTCTATTTGTTGGTGAAGAATACTGAATATACCATGGACTGCGAGAAGAACAAACAAGTATGTCTTGGAAAAAGTACAGCCACAGTGCTCCTTGGAAGTGAGGATGGCGGGACTTCATGTCACGTACCTTGGGCATGTTATCAGGAGGGACCAGTCCCTGGAGAAGGACATCATGCTTGGTAAGGTAGCAGGTCAGAGAAAAAGAGGAAGACCCTCAAGGACCTACTGGCTGTTTAAAGGTGGGCTCAACTACAGCGATGATCGTGAGGATGGTGCAGGATGGGGCAGAGTCGCTATGGGTCGGAACCGACTCAGCAGCACCTAACAACAATAATTCTGAAGGTCACCAACAGACATAAACCTGGCCTTCTTAAAAGGGAAAATAATTAAACTCCAAGTCAATACAATTATAAGGGGAGCAAGGAAAGCCTCTTGCAGTGGGTCGCTTCTATATATACATTTTGAAAAGCGGAGTGTATCTTATAGTCTATTAGGGTATAAACTGAGGTCTCCTTATGAGGTTATTTTAGCACAGATTCAGAATGATGCCAATCCATGAGAAACAGTAAAATGCAAGCGCATTCAAAGGTTAGGTAGGAAACATACCAAAAACCGAAGAGGTCTGCAGAGTGTCTCATCACATCCCATCACCCACAGAGAAGTCAGCTGAATCTAAGAGCAGAGTGGCAGAGATACTATCGCCACTGACTTGTTTCATTCTTAAGACTTCACCTGCTTTTAGGAACCAGTGTCATAAAACTGAATAATGTGATGTCACAGTCCAAAACCTGGTAAAAGTTGGTTTCTTTTTATTTGGGAATAACTATGGTCAACCTTCATTAATGTTGACGCTGATTTATAATATTAAGAATCAAAGTAGAGAACAAAGCCGATACCCATATTCAACATTATAGTCTGCTTTTAGTTACAGAATTTTTAGAATTTCTTTCCCTAAAAGATTCATAGCAGAGGTGTTCATTTTGCTTGCTTATTTCACCTCTAGATACCCCCACAGTTGCTGGGCTCACACGAGGTAAAGGAATAAACTCAATGGCTAAAGTTCTGGTAGCATAGTTAACTCGTGGCCATGTCTTACGAACAGAGTGCTTAAAGCTCAACATAAGACCTTAAATAAAGCTAAAATCACTTATTGCCTGAGTCTAATAGGTTATAAATCACAACTCTTCCCCCTTCCCTGCTGCTCTACCACAGTTAACCTTCTGGTGAAGAAAACAGTAGAAACGGGACTGGTCTTTGAGCTAAGGTGTCCTAAACAGAGAGGAAACCTACACAGATCTGACTTTGACAGGAATACTGAATGGGGGCCGAAGACTCTACATACTTAGGAAGAACTTAACTGAAAGGGGAGAACATAGGGTTCTCCAAGCTCAACAGTAGTTAGTATTTTGCATCAACTGTAAGAAATTTTTATAAAGAACAGAATGACAGCAAGATGCAGAAAGAGTCCAAACAACTACACACGCAGGATTGAAACCCAGCTGCCAGGCACCCTGCTGGACAGGCACTTAGTTCATCCCAAGTGCAGGCCTTTAACCTATAAACCTGAGAGTACTGTCTATAGAAGGCCCTCAGAAGACACTATCTTTTTTTCCCCCCATACTGATGTACCTAAGTCGCCTTTTCTCAGATCTCAAAAGGAAAGTATTAAAGGAAGAGACATGCCTTCAATATTCCTGCTGTTAATTGGCATTCTATGTGGTTAGCAGCCACTGCAAAGTAGGTGGTTCCCACCTTCAAGAGTTACCTGGAATGAGCCTTTACCAAATGCTTACTGCTCTATTTCACTGTAACACCAGCCCAGAATTCCAAAAAAATGAACAAAGCTGGGCTGGCGTATTTTGAATTTGCAACCTTATCACATTGTGATGTACAGGTAGGAAATGTACCCAATACATTCCACTAATCTAAAAACAATGGTGCTTGCTCTTAATCATCTCTGATGGTTATTTTTCAAGCCATATTAGTATTTTTGATAGTGAAGTGCTCAATCTGAGGTGCTCTGTAAGTCCCTTGCGTTTGGGTCAAGCTGTATACCAAAAACAGTCTTTCTGCCCTAAAGTACTGCCATTTATCTGAGTAGATTCCAAATGCAGACTCTGACCACACAGGGTAGGATTAAGAATGGTGGCCCTGGGACAGAAAAGGTATGGTGAGAACAAAGACCTCAGGAGTGTTCATTATTAGCTGAATGGAGGGACCAAGAAAAGCCACTCCCCGCAAATCGGCAGAGTTCACAGTTTAACACATTGCACGAGGAAGTCAGCTGATTGGGCTGCTTTTTCAAATAGGACTTAAAAAAAGAGCCAGAAACTTTTCCAAGTGTGGTCTTGAAGACTAGCTACAGACACCTACTACAATCACTTCATCAGAAAGAGGTGTGCAGGGATCCAACTGCGGAGGCTGCGCAAGGTTGCTACAGAGGATGTTTAGAAAACCTTCGAGTCCTGACACTGCCATGGCTGCTGAACATGAGACGGGGGTCAAATCTGTACCTGGAGTGGAAAGAAAAGTCACATTAACTCTAGTCGGCCATTGAGTATTTTATTCAGAATATTACTATGTGGAAAGGATAGTGGGACGGGCTATAAAAGGACCAATTAAATCACTAGAAGGGATTCTAGTGGAAAAGTTTGTAGCGTAAAACATTAAGAACATTTACAAGTTGCCAAGTGAAAAATAATGTAGTGTAAGTTGAAAGGAAAGGAGAAAAGAAACAAGTAACGTTAATCTTAGAAGGCTTTAGAAGGAAGCAAGTTTTGAGCCGGGTTTTTTTGGGAGGTGGAGGAACTAACTGCATAAAAAGGTGAATGGAAGAGTCTAGCCCTTGTTGAATGTCCTATTGGCAGTTTCAAAGCCCTTTCTTTTTCTACAGTTAGACACACGGACTATAGCATTTAGGAGTACAGGGGAGGACTTCAGACATGGGTTTCAATTTGGGTACGAACTTGGACAAGTCATTAACCTCTCTGGCAATGAATAAATAGTGAGGAAGAGTTTCTAAAGGTCAGGCTCTTGACCAAGGTAAAATGTCTGCATTTATTCCTATAAATACTTCTCTGCCACTTTGCTGAACCCTTCTATTAGTTTCGGTAACTTTCTTGTGGAATCTCTGGGATTTTCTATGTACAGGATCATGTCATCTACGAATAGGGATAATTTTATTTCTTCCTTACCAGTTTGGATGCCCTTTGTTTCCCCTTCTTGTCTTATTACTCTCACTAGGACTTCCATTACAATATTGAATAAGAGTTCTGATAATGGACATCCTTGTCTTGTTTCATCTCTCTCCATTGAGAATAATGCTGGCTGTTGGTTTTGTATACATGCCCTTAATTATGTTGAGAAATTTCCCTTCTATTCCTATTTTGCTGAGAATTTTTAACAGGAAAGGGTGTTAGGATTTTATCAAATGCCTTTTCTGCATTGATTGAGATGATCATGTGATTCTTTTCCTTTGTTTCATTTACATGGTGAACCATGATGATTTTCTAATATTGAACCACTCTTGCATCCCTGGTATGAATCTCATCTCATCAGGAGGTATTATTTTTATTGATATGCTGTTGAATTCTGTTGGCCAGAATTTTGTTGAGAATTTTTCCATCTATATTCATGAGAGATATTGGTCTGTAATTTTCTTTTTTTGTGGTATTTTTGCCTGGCTTTGGTATCAGGGTTATGCTGGCTTCAAAGAATGAGTTAAGGAGCAATTTCTTCCTTTTCTATGTTCTGGAATAGTTTGAGTAGAACTGGTGTCAATTCTTCTCTGAACGTTTGGTAGAACTCTCCAGTGAAAGCATCTGGGCTGGGGCTTTTTTTGTTGGGAGTTTTTTTTAATGACATCTTCAATTTCTTCTTTTGTTATGGTCTGTTTAGGTTTTCTGCCTCTGTTTGTGTTAGTTTAGGTAGGTAGTTTCTAAAAATTTGTCCATTTCTTCTAGATTTTCAAATTTGTTACAGCACAATTTTTCATAATATTCTGTTATGATCCTTTTTGTTTTAGTTGGTTCTGTCGTAACGTCACTCATCCCATTTCTTATTTTGGTTATTCGTTATCTTCTAATTTTTTTCCATCCTTTGATTTTTAATAAATTTATGTCTTTGTTTCTAAGGTGTGTCTCCTGTAGACAACATACTGATGTATCCTGTATTTTTATCCATTCTGTCACTGTCTCTTTATACGTGCATTTAGGCCATTTACATTCAGTGTGATTATTGACAGGTATGAGTTCATTGCTATCATTTTGTAGTGCTTTTTTTTGTGGTGCTGACATTTCCTTTGTTCCTCTAACTCTCCTGTGCTGGATTCCTTTCGTTTGTGGATTTTTTTTTTCAATTTCTTCTGTTTTTGTAGATTTTGTTTTTACTGAGACTGTTTTCCTTCTTTATTGTGATGAGTGATTTTGTTAACTTTCTTTGTGGTTACCTTGAAATTTACCCTTATCTTCCTAGGTTTGAACCAGTCTATCAGTACTTGGTATCGCCTTCCCTTCTCCATTAGAAGATTCTATACCCACACCGTTTATTTCCTCTTTTATTGTTCTGATGTTGTTGTCATCTACAGATTAACCTCTCTGGTTCCCTGTTGTAATTCTTTTGGTTCTGGATAGTCCTTGAGAGTTCATTTCCCAGGTTGGTATCTGGCTGGTATGATCCTGCATCCTAGATTCAGCCTGTAGTCTGATGTTGTTTGTTCTCAGACCGAAGAACTCCCTTTAATAATTCTTGTAAGCTTGGTTTCGTTTTTACATAGTCCCTTAATTTCTGTTTATCTGGAAATGTCCTAATTTCACCATCATATCTAAATGGGAGTTTTGCAGGATATATTATTATTGGCTGGCAATTTTTTTCTTTCATGGTTTTACGTATGTCATCCCATTACCTTCTTGCCTGCATAGTTTTTGCTGAGTAATCAGAGCTTAGTCTTATTGTTTCTCCTCTATGTGACTTTTTGTTTTTCTCGAGATGCTCTCAGGATTCTCTGTCTTTGGTTTTAGCGAGTGTGATTATGATATGCCTTGGTGATTTTCTTTTGGGGTCTATCCTATATGGAGTTCGTTGAGCTTCTTGGATGGTCAGCTTTTCATCTTTCACGATAATGGGGAAGTTTTCTGTCAGCAGTTCTTCAATGATCCTCTCTGTGCTTTCTGTTTTCTCCCCCTGTTCTGGAACTCCAATCACTCAAAAATTTTTGCTTTTGATTGTATCCCACATATTTCTCAGGATTTCTTCATTCTTTTTTCGGATTTTTCCTCAGAGTTGTATCCAAGTGTTTGTCTTCAATTTCGCTGATCCTGTCTTCCATCGTTTCAAACCTGCTCCTTAGCCCTTCTATGACACTGTCCATTTCTGAAATCTTGTTGTTAATCTTTTGGATTTCTAATTGTTGTTTCTGTATGATTTCTAGTTGTGAATTTATTCTGAAATTTTGTTCCTGTATTATTTTCCTGAATTCTTCCATTTTTTTGTATTTTCCATGAATTTGTCTGCCTTTTCCATGAATTTGTCTTATTTTTCCCTCATTTTTGTCTGCTTTTTGCTTCAACTCTTGGATAGCTCTGAATATTAGAGACGTGAATTCCCTATCAGGTAGTTCTAGTGTCTTTTCTTCTACTGGAAAGTCATCTGGTATTTTATTTTGGATGCCTACTGGAACCATCCTGTCCTGTTTTTTAATATGTTTTGATATTGTCTGCTGTCTTTTTTGGGACATTCAGTAGTTATTTTCCTCTTTTACTGATTATAGATTTGTTTGTTTGCTCTTGCTTCGTTTTATTTGGTTATGTTTGAGCAGGCAAGCTGTGTGTTTTGTTTGCTCGTCTGTGTGTATGATACTTTTCACGTCCTTGTCCAATGGGCAGGGTCAGTCGCTCAGCTATGGTGCAGCAGGGCAGGTCCAGCTGAAGGGGAGTTGCTGGGATGGGTTGTTTTGGCACATATTAGGGCCAACAGGGTGGGCTGGGAATCAGTGGAGGGCAGGTTCCAGGAGGCCGTGCCTGTGCTGCTCGGGGGTGTGATGTTCAGCCACGGTGCAGGTAGGCAGGAAGAAGGGGAGAGACTGTGATGTGTGGAGCTAAGATGGGTATGGGAAAAGAGAAGACAGAGGAGAGAGAAAAACAGAGCCAAAAACATATAAGCAAATAAAAAAGAATGCTAAGGGAGCTTACCATCGAAGTGGAGAGATGAGAGACTGAGAAATGGAGAAAAACAGAAAGGAAAAAAAAACCAAAAAGGATAAAATAAAATAAATAAAAATTCTG